GATTACTTCTCCAGATCTTCTTTTTGGGTTCTAGGGTTTATATCTGGGGATACTTTGGGAGTTTTCTTTGATGTTTTTATTGAGTATTCAACTCATGGTTTAAAGAGTATACATCAAAGGATTTTTTATTTGTTCACATAAGGATGGACTTCTCAAACTTCCTAGAGTTGGTAAGGTAAAAGAAAAGAAGGTACACCCTGTTTTTATTTGTCATCATTGTGGTATGCATGGTCATATTCGCCCTTATTGTTATAAGTTGCATGGGAGAGTGTATTTGCCTAGACCTAGGAATAGGAAGTTGGAAACCATGTCGAGACGGGTTCCTATTGTAGGAGAAAGGAACCACAACGTCAGGACACCACCCAAGAACTGCAATTCTCACAACTTTGTTCGTACTAAAGCAGTTTGGGTGAGAAAACTTGACTTGTGTTAATTTGTTTATTTGTTTTAGCTTTTGGATTTTTGTGTGTTAAACATGTGTGCTTGTTCATTTTTTTTGTCTTGCTTTATTCTAGAAAAAAAAAAAAAGAAAAAAAAAATCCCAAAAAGATTTTCTTAGTATGGTTTTGCAAGCTTGAAATTTTTGAGTTGTCTTTGGTGCATATAGAAATTGATGAGAATATCCATTACATGTTAATATATGTGTGCTTTCTGTGGTCATTACTCATTTGGAGTGTGCATTTTTTGATTAGTATGTATCATTCTATACACACTCTTGGAATAGCAAATTTTGGAGTCTTCCGCCTTAGTGATTTTTTTTTTTTTTTTGGGACTTCTGGCATTGTATCTTTTGCTTTTCTAGAAGAATTGACCTATACTAGCATATCATGGGTGATGTGAGTCTCTTAACCACCTACCATCTTTTTGCACCTCTACGGCTTTCCCCTTAATTCTTTGCAATCTAGCCATGAGGAAAAGGCTACCTCAGAGTCACCAACCAGGCCATCCTTATTATATCCATGCTTCTCTAGTTCGGTTTCCATACTCTTGAGCGTGTCAGCCACCAATGATTGTGCAAAAGAAAAAGAAAAAGCAAAAGAAAAAGAAAAAGAAAAAGCAAAAGAAAAAGAAAAAGAAAGAGAAAGAGAAGCAGACAAAATATGCAAAAGAAAAAAATGTGCAAAAGAAAGAAAAAAAAAAATTCATTGATTGAGGGGGAGCCTCCGCCTTTACTCACCAAATACCCCTTGATTCCTAGTGATTTGACTTTCCTTTGTCATGCTTAAGATTCTCTTGTTGGAGGTCCAGTTTTTATATCACTACTAGGATTGAATCTAGTATTTGTCGAACTCCAAGAGTCACACACACACTTTTATCATGGGATCTATGCTTTTCACATAATGCATCACTTTCTTTCATGAGGAATTTTCTACAGACTGTGCACATTGTGTTTACTAGTAATTGTGCTTCTTGGATAATCTTGTGTGTTTTAAGGTACAAATCTGAAATTCCTTGCTTGCTCCACCATATTATTTTTTTGTCGTTTTCTTCTTGTTCACTGTTTTTAGTGTTTGTGGTTGACTTTAGTGAGGGGGAGTTTGGTTCATCTTGATTTGGGTTGGTTTATGATCTTGCTTTTGTTGTTTGAGAGTTGTTTTTCATGAGTCTTAGTTTTCATCTATTCATGTTTTCCATCTCATGTTTCAAGATAACGTGTCATATGTCTATTACTCTTTTCATATACTCTTGTGGGACTAATAGTTGTTTTGGAGATTGTGGCACTAATAACTGTTTTGCAGATCATGACCTTGAGAAAGAAGTTGGCTTTTGTTGGCTGTAATGGGTTGGGGTGTTTAGGATTTTATTGTTAGTAGTGTGTTTTGTCACGGCATTGCCAAAGGGGAGATTGTTTTGGTTTTATTCTTTGGCAATCCCGTTGACAAAACTCCTTTCAGATTGTATTTATTTTTCGCACTTTTATTCAGTGAGGCTATGAGTGTTTAGATGCAAATCCAACCTCGAATTGTGCTTTTCAGAGAAGGTACTACCTATGTTGTCAAAATCGGAGACAAAACATTGGTGTTGATTCAAATTGTAATTTTTTGTTTTTGTTCTGTCCGCTCGAGCGGGAGCTTTGTGAGCTCGAGCGTAGATTAGCAGGTCTCATATTTGTCAGGGCAAGCAAAAAATTTCTGGTGGGATGTGATTTTTACGCTCGAGCGGGATTCTCCTACGGCTCGAGCGCATCTCAGTTTGTTCGCACCAGTTTTTGGTCAGTCCGCTCGAGCAGGCTGTGTTGAGCTCGAGCGGAGCCGCGCGATCCCAGATTTCCAGATTTGATTAAAGAGTTGGTTTCTTCTGAAATTAGATTACTTTTGGTTCTCTATAAATTACTTGGTTTTTTCTCCAAAACTAAGTGATTGATGGGACTTCTCCAGATCTTATTTTTGGATCTTAAGGTTTATATCTGGAGAGATTTTGTAGTTTTTTTGATGTTTTTTATTGAGTATTCAACTCATGATCTAAAGAGAGTACATCAAGGTTTGTTTGTTATACACAAAAGAGAGAGTTGTTCTTCAGTTGTGGATTCTGAAGAGTTCGAGCCTGAAGCTTTGGTGGAATCCGGAGTGGCTCATCAGAAAGACAATTCTGTGGTGAAGATGGGGTTGGAAGAGGCACATAGAGGTTGGTTCAATTAGGCGTTGTGGATTCGCTAGGTAATTGAGAGTATACCTGTGTAATTCCTTTAAATCTTCTTAGTGGATTGTTCTTGTGGCTGTTGCCCGTGGTTTTTGATCACAGTTGGAGGTGTCCAATTGTGGTTTTTCCACGTAAAATCGTTGTGTCTCTTTCTCTTAATTGTTTGATTGGGATTGTTATATTCTGCTTAAAATTGATACATAATCACAAATCAACATCTAGGGGATTTCTAGATTTTTCACATAGTTTTTAAATCTGGGTTCTCTCCCTTTTTGTTTACTTGGGCAGGTATAGGCAAAAGCACAAGAGAGTCAACTTTAGAGCAGTGAAGCATTGGTGCAGACAGATCTTGAAAGGTCTTCTCTATCTCCATAGCCATGACCCACCAGTCATCCACAGAGATCTCAAGTGTGACAACATTTTTATCAATGGCAACCAAGGGGAAGTGAAAATCGGCGATCTTGGCCGTGTGGCAATTCTTCGAAAATCCCATGCTGATCACTATGTTGGTATGTTTAATTCACTTTCCTAAAATAGAACTCGCATATTAGAGCTAAAAATTTGTTGGGGTATACTAATAATGACCTTTTATCTGTTGTAAAATGACTTTTTGTGATGATATGTAACTTTCTGTGTGAGTGATTGGTTGATTGACACAATTAAGGGAAATCATTGAGTTAGTTTTTATCTATTTTTTGAGGTTAATTAGGGACACCAGAGTTCATGGCTCCAGAAGTATATGCTGAGGAATACAATGAATTGGTTGATATTTATTCCTTTGGGATGTGCTCCTTGGAAATGGTCACCTTTGAATATCCCTATAGTGAATGCACTCATCCTGCTCAAATCTACAAAAAAGTTATCTCTGTAAGTGACTTTTGAACTATATTCACTGGGTTGTAGGGTTTATGCAATAGAATAGTAATAACATAGATATATACTGTGTTTTGATTCTTCTTCCTAATTGTAATTTTTTAATGGTATCTAGCTGGGGATGGTGTTTGTAATCGGGCTTCATAACTTGATACTTGAGAATTTCTATGGAGAATTGGAATCCAATTTGGATCCTGGAACTTCCGAAATTAGAGGGTGATATTTTGCATCATCTATTCCTATTAGAGTATTTTATTAATGTAGAACAATTTATTGGTTAGTTTTCATCTGTTTCCGTAGAGTAACTGCAAGTTCCAATTCTTTAAAATAGTGATTTGTTCGTTTTAAGGCAGAACAATTTTAGTTGATATGTTATCTGTTCCTATATTTATTCATATTTGGATTTGGATTTGTTCTGCTCTTGTTGTAACAACTCCTTAGTTCAAATGCATAATACATATATATATATATATATTGAGAATTGGCATTCTTTATTCAATTTTGTATCTCCTTGGATGTGCATGTCAGCTCTTGATTGATTAAGTCATCCCACTGTACATAATCTTTTGTTTTATTGTCTGCAAGAAACAAGATTGCTTAAAAAATAAAAAAAAAAAAAAAAAAAACTGCTCTATTGGATAGAAGTGTGTTAAATTATTTTTTTTCTACCTTTTTCTGCGGTTTCAAAGCCTCAGAAATGACTGATTTGTTTAAATTGTTCTTTTAGGTACAAAACCTTTTTCAACAGATGGTGAGTTGTAATGCAGATCTTATGTTTTATAGTTGTTAACACTTCTAGTGTTATTGATTTATGCACTTTACCTGATTTGGCTTCCATGTTCTGATGCAGATATCCAGACCAATGACGACTATAGATTCTATGCTATATCAGCTGAGTTCAGTGAATTTAGTAACAAGGACAAGACATAAATTAAATCATAACTCATGGGGTTTGTCTTGATGTTTTTCCTATTATTTTTTGGCGAATGTTAAAACATGATTTGTAGATATGTTATTTTGTAATTAATGGTGGTTGGATAGTAAATTGAATGGGAAAGTGAATTAATGATATATTTGCTACTTGACAGCTTTTCATATAATCGGCTTATTTTTTGACAAATGTTCATTTTAATGGAAATGGGAGTTATTGTTTCATATTAGTGCTACTTTTTAATTTTATTACAGGCATTCTTTTAGTCCAACCACATAAAATTAGCACAATTTCAAAAAACAATTAAAAAAAGATATAATGGCATTTTCAAAATCCCACTATATAGCTAATGGTTAGTTTTTTCTTTTTAAAAAAAGAAAGCTATGACGACATTTTTGTAATGTTGTTAAAAATTCTTATGTACCACATTTAGCGGCGTTACAACAAATTAATGACGTTTTTAAAGTGCCGCTAAAAATTGTCATGACGTCACATTGCTGTTATGTATCACATTTAGCGGCGTTTTTCAAAATGCCGTCTATAACAAATTAATGACGTTTTCAAAGTGTCACAACGCTACAGCGACAGCTACGTCCTCGACGTTTGGTGCTAAACGTCACAAAAAGAATAAGTGGTGTTTTTGGCACTTATAGCAGTGTTTTTTAAACGTCGCTAAAAGCTGAATTTCCTACAGTGCTAATAGATGATGTGACATAATTTTAGAAGTTTTAGGTATTTGTAATTTATATAATAGGTGGGGTCAGTAATAATGTCATAAGATATGCTAGTATACTAGTTAGTATATCAATTGATATATGTAACACCACAAAAAAAAATAATAATAATCCTTGATGACACAAAAACCAATTTAGTGAGATAAATTAATGATACTTTTTTGGCAAAGACAAAGGCCAAGTGCTCTGGGGAATACACTTTGAATCCAATACCAAGCAACGATCATGAATGAAATCTATGCGGATTCACACTGTTTTTTTCTTTTCTTTTCTTTCCTTTCTTTTTGGTCAAAGCTAGAGAATATCATATTTAAAGATAGGAGAAAACACAGCTCAGTGAAGCTCTCCAAAATTAATTACTAATTGATGGAAAATTTTATTATTTATTATTTTAATGTTTGTAAAGTTCATTATTAATTTGTACATATTTTTTCAAACTTACACTGAGATGTAATTTCCCCTTCAAAGATCTCAAACCAGTGTGTAGCAGGAGTACAATCTGACTGAGCAAATATGTTAACTCACCTAAGAATAATTTCAGTAGTTGAAGTAAAAATAAAGTGTACATATTTATATATATATATATTTTTTATCTATGTACGTCAATATTATTTTTTATTTTATCTAACAATCCGTACAAGTTGTTTGAAGAGCATCATAATACTCTCCAAATGTAACTATTTGAAAGAATTTTGTTAAAATAACTATTGTAATAATATATTAGCGGGTGTCCAATTTAATAACATTATATAATAATTAATAAGCCTTTTTTAAAAAATCTGTTAGAGATGCTCTAAGATATGAGTCTTAATTGTGAAGTGCACCCTATTTTTTTTTTGTCGCCCGTACATTCTGTCTGAGAGATCGTCCAGATCTGCCGCTGAGAGTTGGTCGTAAAAATCATCCCCATCCCCCATGGCTGGTTCATTGTTCCATTGATTATCTTGGTCATCTTTTCCCATTACTGGTGACTCATGAGAGACGCTATGTTGATAGTTGGGATACTGACTTTCATCGACGAATGTCTCTTTGCTGAAGGGATATCTTGGGATAGCTAAGTTACAATATATCTTCTGATTTCTATCTTCGCAAACTAGACGTCCATAATTTTCATTATATGCTAATAGAGGATTGTTAGCAAATTTCCTCCATTTATTGAGCTGATCTCTGAGTGAAAATCTTCTACATGGCCAGGGTCTCCGATTGAGAAGTCTTGGGTATCCTGGAAATGTCGAGGTTCCTCTGAGGTACATTTTATATTTAGCTAGATTGCACCATATTCCTTTCCACTCTGGTGGTCTGCTATCAATTAATGCTTCTACATATGGATGATGCTCTTCCATTACACGAAGTACTGAATGAGCAAGTTTATTCCCAAAGCTATCTGTCTGATCAGGATCTGAGAAAATTATTCTAGAGACAAATCCGTAATCTAACAATTGTGAGGCTGTTAGATAACGCGTTTTGCCCTTAAGCTTTATCTCCAATTGTTCGAATGTTGCTAGATTTATCTGGCAAAGGCAGATGCTGAAATCTAAATTACACTAGCATTGACCAAAATGTTCTGACCTCTTATTACACTTTTCTTCTTCTAAGCAGGGTTGCTCTTCATCTTCGTAGAGATAAGTCCATTGATAGGCTATGCCAGGGCATTCAACTCCTGCTATGGAGAGGTCTTGAAGAAACTGCTGTATAGTGACTAACTCACTATTTCTTTTATCTTCGGCTAAGGTGTATATATGGGGTTTGAGGTCTTCTATTTCTTGGCTTTTCTCACAAAAAGATCGAATGATAGAATGCCTGAAGAAATACATTCTAGCACCCAATTGGTCAAATTCCTCACTGGTGAGTTGTTTGGTTTCTTGGTCAAGAAATGGAGTGGGTGCTTTTTCTGGAGCTAATTTTTTAAGCTGATTGGTTAGGGTTCGAATGGTGGCTTTCAATTGTTTTTCTTCGTCTCAGAGCTGGTCTAGCTCTTCACTGACCCTTTTGCCTTTATCCATAATTTTTTTGAAATTTCTGGTAAGGCCTTCACAATGTCTGCACATTTGGAGAGGATTTTGAAAATCTATCTGAGGGTTAGAACTACTGCTTCCAGTACTACTGCTTCCAATTATCTGGCTAACTGGAACTCCACTAGTAGCAAGAATGGTTGACTGCATCTTGCCCAATGTGTCCAGGTAATCTTTAGCGATCTGGCTGATAAAGTAACTGGTTTCTACTTGTCTTCGGGCATAGGTACTGGCTAACTCAAAATCATAAAATCCTTTATATTGAGGTGTGGGAAAATTTTTAACTAAGGGTTCAACTTCTATCCAGTCATGATAAATACCAGGCGTGGTTCCTTTAGCTATTACATAGAAAGAAAAACTTTTAGACAAAAGTTTATTTTGGATTTTTGAAAAATACATACTAAGAGAGTTTAGGGCTGACAGACGTTTAGCTAGGTGGTTTTGACTGTTCCAAAGGTTATCTAGAAGACACTGTTGAACTGGGTCTAGCTCAATTCCTGTTAATGGTCTGAACTTGTTTCTGCCTTCATGAATGGGAAGAGCGAATCCCCCAAAGTTCATGGTTTTGCTGTTCTCTATTATCTACACAAAAATTAAGCTGATTATTTTCTTTTTCTAAATAAATTTTCCTACTTAACCAATATGTTAACCTATTATCACTCCCTTTAATATGTTCAAATTCTACTTTATATCCTTGTCCTACTATACAGTCTAAAAATTTTGCCCATCTTCTGGAACTTAATTTGCGCTCGTTAAGTTTATTATAAAATCTAACTATAGCTTCACAATCTGTCCTAATTGTAAAGGGTTTGTGTAAAAATAATCTAAATTTATTTATTGCATATACAACTCCTAATATTTCAAAATCTAGACCGGTCATGGCCGTGTCTTCTTCTTTAAATTTTCCAGAAAATATATCTATACATGCGTTCTTTATTTTTATTATCATACTTACTAGGTTTAGGTAATAATATTGTTCCCCGTCCAAATTGACTTGCTTCTATTTCTATGACTATATATTCTGATTCTAAGGGAAGTTGTAGGTCTGGTAAATTTTTACAAATGTCTTTTATTTTTCTAACTAGAGCTATATCTTGTTGATTGAAATATTTTTGTCCTGTGGGTGTGGTCTTACTATATAGGGGTCCTATTATTTTACTAAGGTTGGGAATATACATTCGTGCATAATTTAAAATTTCTAAAAATGATTGAAGTTGTTTTGTATCTTCTAATTTATCTAGATAATCTAAAATTTTCTTAACTATGTGAGATTGTAACCTAATTTTTCCATCTCCTAACTCCATTCCTAAAAATTCTATATGAGGCTTATTTAATACCATATTTTTCTTGCTAATTATTATTCCATTATTTATGAATTCTTCTAACGTTATATATAAATGATCTATGTGACTATTTTTATCTGGACTGAATACTAATATGTCATCTATGTATACCAATATAAAACTATATTTATTAAATATACTATCCATCTTATGCTGAAATATGGAAGGTGCATTTTTTAGTCCAAAAGGCATAACTAGCCATTCGTAATGTCCTTGTGGGCAACAAAAGGCTGTCCAAGGTATGCTTTCCTTTTCCATTTTTATCTGCCAAAATCCCAACTTGCAATCAAATTTACTAAATATTTTTGCTGTCTGTATTCTGTTTATGAGCTGATCTTTATCTGGTATATTATATTTATGGTCTTCTGTATTATCATTTAATCTTTTATAATTTATAACCATTCTAGCCTTTCCTCTTTTTATGTCGGCATGATTTCTAACCATAAATGCAGTGCTCCTATGTAGACTATTACTTGGTCTAATTACTCCTAAATCTAGTAACTCTTTAGTCTGTGTTCTAAATTCTTCTATATCTGCTGGTGTATGATCTATTTGTGCTGAGGTAATCCTATAATCTTTATTTTTTATATCTAAACTAGCTAAAACTTTATTTCTTTCCCAATATTTCATGGGTTGTTCTCCTAAAATCTCTGTTGTTTCAGCTAATCTTATTATTTCATCTAAATCATTTTATGTTCTTCTGTATACTGGTTTTTTCTTTAATTTCCCTATTTTTGCAAAAATTAATTCTAGGTTAACTGTTTGTTGAAAATCTTCTAGGTTCCAACAGTCTTCCTTATCTTCAAAATCAAACTCTTCTAAATCTTCTAATTCATAATTTTCTATGTCTAAATTTTCTAAAGAAGTATTTGATATCTCATCAGGTATATACTTTTGGGCTAGCTTGGGAAAAATATTTCTACTAGGAAATAAAAAACTAGCGGGAACTGAATCAACTCCT